GCTAAGTGCGGTGACATGGTCTAGAGATGTAACTGACCGACCAGTTTCGTTTGTGCAGTGAAACTGTATTGAACCGAAGAAAATGCCAATTATCCGGTTAGACGGCTGTCCATGGAACGCGTCGATCTTGCGACAGCCTTGTAAACTTTCCCGGGAATCACTGTGTCAGTTTTCTATGTCAACGGGTCGACAACGAAGCGTCCATGAATACAACGCAAGGACTTCGCGCCATTGTCAGCTGTGGACAGCTAACTTCCGGTTGAAGCCGCCGAACTAATGAAAGCGCAATTTCCGGTGATCAGTTTTGACTCCCTTACATGCACTTGCCACATTTTCCCTCGCACGGTTGTCGTGCTCTGAAACTGCATGCAGCGCTTCACCTGAACTGATCTCCCGTAAACTTGTCCTCATAATCTCTGCTTCCCATGGTACAATAGGTTGAGAACTAACTTCGGTTTCAATTGCTCAACGCTCCGAACTCGCTCCTACGAAGTGATGCAGAAACTGCCTCCATATATGAGTTCAGTCTTAACGTCAGTTGTCTGCATGGATGGTGCAAGGGCTATGAACACCCCCCCAACCTTCTACCTCAGCAAATAGCTTCGAAAACGAATACGATGCGTTGTCCGAATGATCCCTCTTTGAGATAAAACTGTCTGAACGATCGTAGGAAGTACAATCGTCTCCGGACATCATTATCTGTTAGCCACCGTTGTCCACTATCCGCGACGCGAATACCCTGGCCGGAAACCCAGAACACATCTGCCCAGTGCATGTGATTTTTTGAAGTGGTAATTTGCTGTGACTTTTTTGAGATGCACGCATCACTGCAGAAACTCTTATCGACATTGTTATCCGCATCGAACACCATATTAAATTTTAACAGCAAAACAGTCTTGATTAATCGACACACAATGAAACAGGAGTTTGAGGTAGTAGTCGAGTTGTCGTCAGAGTTCACTTTCTGGATTAGAGTCGATGATCGATTTTCACGCCCCAGAAACAGCATACAACGTTTGTTTCGTCAATATCAATGAATTGTACGATTAAAAGACCAATTATTGGAAATCTTTCACAAATGACTTCTGTGTTCCAATGTAGCGGACTTCGACCTGAATCAATCAGTTTTTTATAACATGTGAAAAAATTCTTGTCTGTGCATAAGTCACAGAAGAAATAGCAGCACATAAAGTGTTTAATTTAAAGCATTACACAAGCACTGAAGTTTTGGATCAAGCTCGGTCCGTCTTCAGAGTAACTATGACATTTGCACAGCCTGGTTCATGCAGGTCATGTAGACGCGAATAAATAATGAAGCGACCGTTTAACGTTTTCGATCTATATGCCGCTGACGTTTGACGTTATTTTTCTTAATGGCGGTATTAAAAACTAGCAGTTTGCCAGTAAACCGATAAGATCTTAGCTTATTTCTACGCATAAATACGCCTGCGGATAATGGCATGTCGGAAAGTGCCCAGACAGGATTTTGTTCGGCCCTGCCCAATGATGTGGTTTTGCATTCATGTACTGCAGGTGCTAAAATACCATGTAGCCGTGGCCTACTTAAATAGCTCCCTAGGCTGCTACAAGCAACGGGACAGCGCCCGTACGTCGTGTAAACCAGGTAGTAAATGAAAAGTGCTAATAAAC